TGTGTGACTGGTATGAGTGAATGGAAGTATGTGGCACATGTGATCAGAGCTATCATAATGAAGGTGATCTGGGATGATAGAAACAACCGTCTGTTCAGCCATCAGTTCATGTCTGATATGCAAGTCAAGAAGCAGATTACTTCAGATATTAGACGAACGATACTGTGTGACTGCGAAGGCAACAACAAACGGCATGTGAAATAAATCATAATCAACGGAAGTGGTTCTGGGATACTTGGGGAAGAGACTTAAGACTATGTAAAATAGATGATAGGGGTAAAGTGTCCTTCTGTCCTTGGTTTCTCGCCAGGATTGGTCATGGGGAACGAATTAGTACCCCACCTTGAACGGATGACTCCTCCCGACCGCCCTCGTCCAGTCACACGTTATGTAGAGCAACTTTTGTCTTCTCTTGTTCTGAATTTTCAGGCATGGAGATTAAAAGTTGTGATAGGATATGTTTATCTGCCTGACTCAACAAGAGTTGTCTGGAAGTAGACTCGGGGTTAGGCCCGGCTAGCCACGAGTGCTTAATTTTTTATCGAGGGAGATCATTATTTTTTGTTTGGGAGCTGTTATGGAGTAAGGATGAGTTTGGGGACGCTGGACCCGGTTTCCACAACTTTCCATCTTTTCTGTTTTAAGCCGAATCTGGGTGATGGCCCTAGTCTCGGGGTAGAATTGTGAGGTTCCCGGCCTCAACTTATCTTTTGGAAATAAATGGATACTATTCTCCTAAAATAAATAAATAAATAAATAAATAAATAAATAAATAAATAAATAAAAACAGTAAACTTTGATAAGCTTAAAAACGAGTGGGAGAGCATTAACTGTGACTTGACATATAAGATAGGAAGCGAGATATATTCTGCAGAGACAGTTGGTAACATTTCTTTGGCGATGCAATCATAAATCCAAAAATGTTCTCAGTAGAGTGGCGTGGCAATCTATAATTCAACCTAAATCAATAGGTGGCCTAGGTATAATTGACCCTACTACTCAAGCAAAGGCCCTCTCAATTCAATGGATAAAACGCCTTCTCAATTCCATGGCCTACTCTGGCTTGTGAACAGATTAGACGCCTTGCGCCTACTACCCCAGATGAGGTTGACCCCTTAATGTGGTTAGAGAATCGAGCGTGGCCACTCCCAAGGACGTCCCCATTGGAGGCTCCTAATCCACAGTTACCTGATCGTCAAGCAGCCAGAGGAGACTTATCACGAGATCCCTTCTGGATTGACCTTCTTAAAACTTGGAGGAAACTACCCATCCCAAATAAAGTAACTCCAGAGAGATGGGAAGAAGTTTGTCAGCAACAATTATTCTTCCGTTCGGAGTGTTAGCTGTGCGGAAAAGAGGCCCAGAAAAACAGCAAGATAAGGTGTGCCAAGGATTTTTGGAAATTGAGTGTGGGGACACAGATGGAACTGAAATCCCCAGTGTTGGTCCGATGGAGCAAGTCGATCGTTTTCGCGCGTCACGGAATGCGCGCGCGGGCAAGGCGGGAAGAGAGGGAAAGATCAAAATTCAATCCAAAAAGTATTGTCGTGTCTCCCACCGGGCTACAGCCCGTCGTTTAGAACAGAAAGGCTTGGGCACGCTTCGCGTGTCCCGTTTTTGTATCAAGTCTCGTCGTCGTTCGCTGGTTAGTTCCGAGTCTGACGTGGAGGGTCTCAATCGCGTGGCTCTTTCTTTATGCTCGTCTTCACTCCACACACAGTAGTGGAAACCCCTGGACTCGTAGTGCTCAAAACGCAGACATTCGATGCAGAGAGTGCGCGGCCAGTGGGGTTCTACTGCCGTCCACGGAATGACGATTAACTCATTAAATGACAACAATACCGAGTAAGGTGGGAAGTGCGTATCGATAATAACAAACCCGACTTCTACGAACCCAGAACAACGGTTAGCCGGAGGGAAGTAATACTGCCCGTCGATTTGTGCAACGGCTTCTCGTACGTCCCACTCACATACACGTGTCCTTTCCTCACTGTAAGGAAAAGGTCACGTTGGGATGGGAGATACGGGAGGCTGGCGCCCAATCGAAGGGTACTTGTCAGTCCACATGTCAATCAATCACGAAATATCCTGAGACGTCATTAAGAACAAAACCGATTCGCGCGTCCCCCAATCAATCTTTTTGACACAAGAGAGAGAGAGAGCAAACACAGATCAACTTGATCACGCATATGGCTACGGGTCCGATCAGTTCAACACAACGTTGGTCCCTGGGCGCCTTGTTTCTCAGGGCCGCCTCGTGGCTCGACTGCTGATGTCGTGCAACATAAGGCAGATGGCATGCGCAGTGTAAACAAAGCTACAAATCTAAACACTCTTGCATTCTCGAACAGAATCCCGACGACAATCGTCTAATCAACAAAAGAGTCACACATTCCATACATGCATTCACTGTGGAACGTGCGAAAATGAGACATGCATAGGAAAAAATGGATCGCATTACTCAATACACACGCATCCACCGTTCACAAGACAAGAAGACAGGGTCCTTGCGTAGGAGGATTACCCAAAAAACTAATGGAAGAGTTCCGGAAGAAGTTCTTTCACACAGAATGCCGACTCATTTCTATTCAAGAGCGGGACAATCATTCAGACGCATCATCATTCGAGAAGAGAGAGAGAGAGAGAGAGAGAGAGAGAGAGAGAGAGAGAGAGAGAGAGAGAGAGAGAGAGAGAGA